TTTGGATTTAACAAAAGACTGGAGGTTCTGGAGCAGCCTGATTCTGTTTTTCACCAGAAATCAAGTGTACTACAAAGTACTTCTGAAGAAAACACAGAAGAAAAGACATAATTTAACATACTGTATGATAAAGTACAATAATTATCTGCCAAGCAATAAATCACGACTCCCTTTGTCTGAGAAGACCTGGTAAATATCGTAAAGAAACATGAGCATGAAAACAGAGTAATTACTTGATGTGGGAACTGTATCTTTGTATTTCACAGAATGCAGTTGAAAACACCCCAACTTTTTGCCCTTCCTGTTGCATTAATGAAATGTTATTGACCTTTACATGCCCTGTAACATTCCCAATTAAAATGCAAACTATATTATGTATCCCATTCAAATTTCATTAAATTTTGATTCTAAAAGTAAGGATTTTCTTTAAGATACAACAAACACAAATCTGGAAAAAAAATCATATCAGTTTCAATTATATACTATACTTCAATAGTCCTCTTCTAACTGTAGAATTATAATAAAAAAAATACTAGGATATTTCCTGCATGATTTATGAACATCTATACATAGAGTCTTCTGACACCAAAGTTTGTAAAGTTTTGTCTTTCAGGAGACATAACACGTCTCATAGACTCCTTAAAACTCAAAGGTAATGAATAGGATCACAGTCCTCAAAAAATCCTTGAAAGTTCAAAATCTTTAGATCAACAAAATATATTCCTCTCTTTTTAAGAGAAACTTGCAGAAAATAGCAAATACACTTTCTTGAGAGGGAATACATAATCCTTAACTGTGAGACAGGATGATAAATTTACACTGAACGCAGTTTATGCTGATATATCATTTACACTGAAGCTATAAAAACTCCTGCACTAATGATACCCTCTTCAGCTGGTGCTTGCAAGGGCTGTAGTTCTAAGAAGTGGATTTTTCTAATTATTATAATGAATGTAGAATTTTTACATCACCAACATGTCTCCTGCAGGACGTTTCTAAACCCTAAGGAAGATAATACTGTTACTGGCATTTTATCAAGATTACAGAAACTAGTTTCCAACACAGGGCAAAGGGTACTAACTTCAGATTCCAAGAAAGGATTATATATGTTGTTTCACGTTGTCTGTATACACTTGGAGTGATTTACTTAATGTAACATATAGGGGTTTTAAAATTATGCAAAAATGTATACTGCAATTATATAAATATCTGTAGTTGTGACTATTCAGATCACAGTGTTTTGGTGTGGGCTTAATGTATTAACAGTAATGTGCAAAACTTTCTACAGGATATTTTTTAATATATATAGCTATAAATTGAGTAACAGAGTAAAGCATGGATCTTTCCAAAACAATATAAAAGCCAAATTCAAATTTTTAAAGAAAGCCAATTTTTATCTCAGTTAAAAAAGCAACTAAATATATTAAAATAGCTTAGGTACCTTCTCCTGCAAAAAGAACTCCAGAAACTCTAAATAACAATACTTATTTGCTCAAAAGTTTTCATGTTGTTTCTGTAACATAAAAAATTTCAAAGCATTATTTCCAAAGATTTAAAGTGATTTAGAAGGAGTGTAGGGTGAATATTGTATTATTTTGCTGGTATTGGGATTCTCAAATATGATTGTCTCTCCTTCTAGCCCTAAAATATACAATGTGATTTAGTCAGACTGTACTCATTAAGGGTAGAAAAGGGGAAATACTGTACCCATAATACAGATAAGGGGAGGAACCAGGGGTCCACCCCATCCAAGCTGAAAGGTTATCCTATATGAAATAGAAATATATAGCCTGTTATTAGTTGTGAATCTGTAATGACAGACACTTGATGATATGTTTTATAACTCAACTATATGAGAAATGTTTCTTTTCTACTAATGAAAGTTTGAGTACTCTTGAAAATGACTCGTTATAACTTTCCTTGTAAGGAAATCTAAGGAATAGCCATTGAATTTTACAGGATATTTAAGACATCAAATACTCTAATTTAGTTTTACAAGTTATGAAATTGGACTGGAAATTTGAAATACAGTAAATGTTTAAAGCCATCAGCCAGAAATATGCATAAGGCATGCAAAACTGAAAGTGCAAGTGGATTTCAGATTGTTTGCTGCCTTCTACTATTTCTCTAATAAATAAATCAAGCACGGCATGACATGCTTTATTTTGTGAAATTAGACATAAATGCATGCTTTATTGTCACTTAATTCTCTAACTCAGCAAAGCAATGTATACTCAGTATTCTACATTTACAGGTAGCATACCAAATCAGGACTAGCGCAAAAGCATTATATTGCAAGTACTAGGAAGCTAAACAAAAAGCGATGGGTATATTCAAATCTCAGTTTGCAGCTACTTCTGCTTAATACATACACTAATTGAGATGAGAATATAAACCCTATGACAGAAATTTAAATTAAATTAAAGCAATTCTTTACTTTGCCTTCCAGCATCTGGATGGAGTTCGTTTTGAGATTCACTATAGAAAGTATTACAATATTTTAGACTTCAGTATACTAGAGATATACTAAATGACTTTAATATGGCAAAATTCACTTCTGTGCTAAAGGCAAGCACAGGCTATGGATTACTTGTACCCTTTTTTGGTGCAAGAGATTCATATATTCACTTTGGAAAGAGAATTTTCCCATTTATGAAGCATAATTATAAAACTAAGTTTAAGCATAATTATAAAATTTATAAAATTATAAATAGTCAGTATTTACTGACTGTGTAAAATGCTGTGTTCTTCCAATTCCCTAGAAGGGTAAACTTATATAAGAAAAACATTGATTGATTTAAAGTAGTTGAGAACTTGGTAGATTGTTTTACAAAATAATGCAGATCTTTTTATATACACGGACTTATGTGAAATACTTAAGATATTTTATATTTTCAAGGCAAAATTTGCACAGTTCTGAACATGGAGTAAACATTAAAATTTAAATACATGCTGAATAAAAAGTCAGCTTGTTTTATCACAGTTCAGCATAGGTATGAGCAATATAAGAAAGCAAAGAGGGATGATTTATTTTTACTTTCTGCAGGCAGAAAAAAATCTTTTTATGAATTCTTATGCAATGAACTCAGTTTCTGAGAAGACTGCAATCTGATTATAGTCCAACCATGAGCTGGTCAATTATTTATTATTTGAATCTTTTTACTGTTCGTGAGTCATTCATAAGGTATGCCAACAACTGTCAGTGAGTTGTTATGAATACTTCTCAAGTACTTTGGAAAAAAACATTTTCAGAAGTTCATGTAACTAATAGTAAATATAAGGCCTATATAATTGGCCAGTCAAATTTGCTAAGTGACTGGAATCAGGCACTTCATTGACTGTCATTAATATTGGAGGACAGAGCTGAAACCTTTTTGCTTTTCCAAGCTTGTCTGTGATTCCTGCACAGTAAATTGCTCATGAATTATTCATGTTCTGTAGCTGAAATTCTATCATATGATTGGGCTTCTGGCATAATTTCATAGTTATTCAGCGAGACATAAGAGAAAGCAGTAAATAGATTTCTAATAACAGATACTTTTCTTTGAGCATGAATATCCTAAATTTTTAAGAGGAAACTTTACTAAGGCAATCACGTAAGAATACAGAAAAACTGAATAAAACATTTGGCAATCAATTTTGATATTTTCTTTCTAGAAATGATCTTTTTTTCCAATATAATTTTTAGAGCTGCTTTTTTTTTTTCTTCCTATGTAATGTCTATACTGGTCTCCCAGTCCTCCTGCAGCTGACCAGAACATTATTAAAAAAGTAAACCTGACAGCAGTTTCATGACATTTCTCTGCACAAAACCACATACATTTTTCTGAATGTTCATGAACAGTATGTACAAAGAGAGACAAAGAGAAAATGGCTAAGTCAAATAGTGGTAAATTCTGTAACACTTGACCAGCTCTTACCCTGCTGAATTCATGAGTTTCAAATAAGGAGAAAACTGTTAGAAGTCAATTTGCTGTATGAAGTTGAAATTTATTAATCTAGTAATCATTGGTTAGTGATATATTTTCTGCTGCATTCTGAAGTAGAGATAGGTAGTCTACTGAATACAATTCAAGGAAAAGAATTTGAAGTTTCAATCATTAAGCTTAGCTTTCTTTCTGAAGACAGTATATTCCAACCTATTCCACTGGTTTATAATTGACTAGAAATTCATTATTGCATTGTTTCCTCTTATGTTTCCAAGAAGCAGGAAAAAGCATTTTCTTAAAACATATTTCATTGACATGCATATAGAGTTAGTTTGTATTCAGTGGCTTTAAGGAACAGAAGGTGTAAACAAATGAAAAAATAAGTTAAAATGCCTTCTTAAGTGAGATGAATAGTAAGCAGGGCCTCTAAATTACTCAGAGTAGTAAGAAATGACCTTATATACATTGTATTGAATATTGAATAGAGATTAGTTGAAATAGAAAAAAAAAAAGCATTTACCTTACAAAGAGAATAATTTCATAGAGCAATCAAATAACTTGATTTCTTTTTTTAAGTCAGCCAAACTCAGAAATAGATTTAAACCACTAGTGGGTATGAATATATCTGTAATACCATCTAGTAAAATTCAGTGGGGTTAGACTAAAGGGGATTTATCAAATATAAAGAAAAATTTAAAAAATTCAAATTTTAACAGACAATATCTTCAATGGATGCTAAATTAGATTCTTGTATCAATATTGTAATATGTTTATCAGTAAAAAATTAATATAGTTTTATTACTTTTTTTCATTATTAAGAGTCTGTTAAGTGAGTTCATAGTCGGTAATTTCAAAGACTTACATGAAAAACTCCTGAGATTGGCTAGAAAGTAAAGTAACCTTAATGAATGTAACTTCTATGTGACACTGCATATGGATTTAGGTGAATTGATGAAGCTTTTTGCTTATCTGTTAGTAAAAGATATGCGATAAAAAGATAGTGCAGCCTTTCTGCATGGACTTTTCATTCCTGATTCTGCATGCATGTACTCCTTCTATGCATGCATAGTTTCAGATTCTTTCATGTTGTCTTACCCTCATGCCTTCAAATCGTGACAAAGCTCTTAGAGGTCTCAAAGCTCTTAGTGTCCTAAGGGACTTAATGGCACCAAGTTCAGAGTAACCCAATGCATTTGCTGTTAAGCTAACCAAAGAGACCTATATGAAAACAGGAAAGTAAAAATTATTATATTGTACATACTACTTTACGTACCATAGATGTGAGATATACACTTCTTTAGAAGATTCTAACTTTGGACCATTTTCTTCAGGAATAAGGAGTCTTTCAAATGAAAAAAAAAAGAAGAAAAAAGTAATATGAAAGAAGAAGAGGTAAATAAAAAAAATATCATAAGATAACTAATATCTGGAAACATTAATACTTCTGAATTTCATATTTTGCTAGTGATTTGTGGGCATTTAAAACAACAAAAAGCAAATTAAAATAATCTCTCCTTTTTACTAATTTATGTATTGCTCTTCCTTTTTCTTTTTTTTACAGTTCTGTTGGGATCAATAATTATGGTTGATAATGTCCATTTGGTTGCCCACAACTGAAAGGAAAGTGATTGAAGATTGAGTTGAACTAACAGATGGATCACAGAGCAATATTGCTCCTCTGGAAATTGGTAGAAAGGATTAATTTTTCTATAATCAGTTACACTGATTAATCCTTTTGCCTTACTGCTGAATTTATGTGCTTTACAAGCTTAACATTGACCTGGATTATGTTGTTTCTAAGACCTTATAAGAACAGTTCCATAGGTGGCAGAATTCGACAAGCCTTTAAATATTCCATGTCCCTACGTTACCTCAGTGCAAAATACCACATTGTCCACATTTGCTATGGCTCCTGTCCAAAATATTACCTTCTGTTTGTTTCCCATTTCCCCTAAATGTTCCTGCATTATGCTGTTCTAATTCCTTAACTATTTATTGGGCCAAAAATAGCATAATATTCTCATGTACTCTTTCGTTATAAGAAAAAATATATCACGTAAAGAGAACTCTACGACAGTGCTTTTTATGAACCATATTTAAAACCAAGCATTATATGTGAAATCTTTAGCTTTTCTGTACTTGTCAATCCTGAGCTCTAGCAACCCACAAATCTAGGTTCTGACAAAATCTGAATTTCTTTCTCCAGCATATTCCTCGTACTACTAAAACCTTTCAAGCTGCTGTGATCTGAAGCAAAATTAAAGAAAATATCTTTGTAAAAGATGTGTAAATCCAAGATTTGATCACGAGTTTATTGAGACACTTGAATACATACTATACCTTCACAATATGTATTCAAATTTTCACATCACAAGATGGCCGTTTGCAATATGATGATTTAAATAAGGTCAAATATTAGAGAAAATTAGTTTAGAAAAGGAACAGCTGCTTCTGCTTGCATGCTTCTTCAAGCTTTTTTGTTGTAGGTGCCATTTTGAGAAGAATTTCAATACTAGAGAACCCAAGAGTGGGTCTTTCTTTGTATGAACATAGCTACCTGTAGCTCTATATGTGGGGCTGAATCCTAGATATACTTAAACCATAATGTACACATATCAAAAAGGTTGTAGGCACCCATCACAAAACAAAGCTGAAGAAAACTAATTGCTCTGATTAGCCCATGTATGCTGGGAACACAATCAGAAACTTTAGGCAATTCTTTGGCATAATAAATGCTTATAAAGTTCCCTTTTTACCTATTCAGTGTCTGTTTCTAATTCATTTAAACCAGGACAAAAATAATCTTAATTTTAAAACTAAGCTTGTTCAATATTTGGGTTTTGTGTATGTTTTGCCAGAAATTACTGTCTTAAAAATATAGTGACTGGCTGTGGTTTTGTAACTATGTAAAACATAGTACTTGCATTCCTTAGCATTGGAGGTTTTCTCAAAAGGGTATACTTAGGATAGTATTAAATTCTCCATAACTGTATCAACGCATTAAGAAAAGTTCTCTCCCATTTCATGGCACAGCACAGTAGAGTTAGAACTATCAGACAACCCTTGCAGCAAAGATTATTGAGCCTAATTTGAAGCATGGCTGTGAAAACTGCAAGTTCAGTAATATTTACTGGACTTTAATACTAAGTAAGCCACACTACCAGTGCTAGAGATATATCTTGCTTTCCTTGTAAAACCATAATTTATCCATATGCTGAAATTTGCAGACGTGATGTTTGTTATCTTGCCAGAGGAGTTTTGATTCGGATGTGTGTAGGATATCTGGTGGACCAGACATCCATCTAAATGCTGCATTCAACTTAGACTACAGCAGGAGGGATGGTGGGTCTGAAGGTAGAATGAGCAGACCAGGCCAGAATGGAGTTCAGCATGGCCTCTTTCAACAGCAGTGCTGGGATAAACCCTTTAACTGCTTGTGGGGCTACCAAGTGAGGTCCTTCTGTTAGCAGGAGAACTTCCAGTCTTTCCTAACTCTGTGGTATAGCAAGGCAGTGCTGCAAGTATAAAGTGAAAGACAGAAGTATGGCTTTTCTAGCTACCTTACTTTTTAAAGTGAATATCTATTAGTTGGCACTAATAGATATTATGGTTGCAAAGAGAGTAAATTTAAAAATAATCAGATAAATATAAAAGTATCGCCTAGGAAATACACTACATACATCAACAATCAGGAAGTCCAGCCAGCACCAGGCATTAGTAAAGTATGTTTGGTAGCCATAGGCCACCCACTTCAGCAGCATTTCCAGTATGAAGATGTAAGTGAAGACCTTGTCAGCATATTCCAGCATGGTCTTGATAGTTTTACGTTGTTCAATATATATGTCTTCAAAAGCCTGTGAGTATAAACATTCAAAGATATATTATTTTTTGTTACTGGTTGCAACAAAGTAAACCAAAAAAAGGCAATAAAAAAAGGAAACAATCTTCAAGAAAAGGCATGGATTTGTCACTTCTACCCAATGCTTCTTTTTCTGCTAATCTCAGTATATACCTGTTTCCTCCTATGAAACTATATTTCCAGCTCACAGGAGGAAGAAGCAGATATTACACAGCAACCACTCCACTGGGCAGGGATTTTTATTTATTTATTTATTTATTTATTTATTTATTTATTGCTGATTGTGAATTATTCTTCTCAGACCATTTTCTGTACTGAAAAATAGCATTGATTCCGCAAAGTGTTGTGCCTGAACTGAATTCTACTCAGGTCATTTGGTTTGTATGTAGGTAGATCCAATTTCAAAATCCAGGGCCATAGTTATTAAAATTTTCAGGAAAATGACAAGTCAATTGACCTTTTGTTTTTATGTCCTGTTGCTGTTTGAAAATTTTAAGTTATAAATCACACAATAACTTCTTCCTTTCTTAAAAGAAATTATTTAAATCAAATACCTGCTTTACTGTTTATTCACATTTTATGAGATACATAAAATTTCTGAGCTCTGTGCAATGTTATTTATACTTTTTGTGTTCTCATTTTTAGGCATTTGTAAAAACAAATAGCTTCTGATTTTCATAAGTTTTTTCTGTCTCTAAAATATTTTTCCTTTAATTTCTTTCAAATTTCAATTACACTATTATTTCTTATGCAGAATGACTGATTTCATCAGATTGAAAGAACTGGAATGATATGCCAGCTTGGAAAGATTTGTATATTTATTGGTACTAACATTATTTTTACTCAGCCTACTTCTGAATCACTTTACATCTGTCAGTCCAAATGATTAGTGTTTGTATATCAATCGTAAAGCTAATAACTGTGTACCAGTAATTCTGGATACTTAGATCAGGCACTGGGGTACCTGACACTCATGTGGGTTCACTAAAAACTTTATCTCACAGAACTGGGAAGTCGACAGATATAATTTCCTTTGTATAGGTGGGAATGTGCCAAAGGCTGAGCCAGCAGTGCTCCTGGCAGCTGGAAGTATGTTGGCTCCCCAAACACCCCTGGGGTAGGGGTTTGGAGGCAGTTTGCAGTCTCTCTGTGTCTGCCAGATTTCCTGGCTGTGGTGACAGTGAGATTTGTCTGGAGCACAGCCTTGGGGTGAAAATTGGGATATAGTTCTGGCAGATCCAAAGAAACTTTTTCACTATCACAGAAGAATTTGAAGGGAGAGCTGAATCTCACATCTCCAGAGACTTGGGCTAATCCATGGTCTGCAAACCCTTTTCCCAAAATAAAGGTTTTGTGGATGACACACCTTATGTTCACAAGCATGAGGTGCCAAAACCATGGGATCTCATCTCAAACTTCCTCTAAACATAGTGACAGAAATTTGCCTTTACCAGATCTCTTTCTAATACTTTTCTCTCATTTAAGTTCTTGTCAGCTAAGATTTTCTCCACTTGGTTACATGAACCAAAATTCAGTAGTGTAGACTTGAATTTTTTGTTATTCAGATGGCTTTAAATGACAGGGAAGGTGTCACATGGTGTTGAGTAAGAGTTGTTTTTTTGATGGATGCCTTGATATTAGACCAAACAAAAGCAGAATAATTCTTAGATATATAACTGGAACTAGGGTAGGTATAATCATAAACTGCTAACCATCAACGGTATTTTAAAGTGTTGGGAATGGTCAAAAGAGCTTATAATACAATTTTGCAACACAATATTTTTATTATGTAGGAACTTCAGTAACTCGACAAAGCATAATTGCATCTATCAGGGTAGATGCTGGATATACTCTACATTATCTCAGAGCAAGTAGTTTGCCTAAGAAACGTTACCTCAGTATATATCCAGGTTCACCTATATTTCACAATCCATCTCCAACTTCTTTATTCTTTTTCATTATTTTTATTTTTGAAATCACATATTATTGGTATGTTTTGTTTCATTTATTGTTACAGACTGATATTATGGTTGGTTTCTTTTTCTTACATATTTGTTAAAGCAAATTCATGTTCTTACAGATGTCCCTCTAGTCTACATGAGTCAGTAGAAGCTGAATTGCAAACCTAAGTAATATATTCTTAGTCTTAGAAAGGAATCATTAAAAATACACAGTCTTGATCTTTCTTTCTGTTCTAGCACATAACATTCATAAGACTGCATAAGCTAGCCCTGGCTCTTGCAAGCTATGGTGAACTGTTTATGCCATTACAGTTTAGTTCCAAACTCTTCAACAGTGACAGTTCTTTTCCCTGAGTCACACCGGTAAACACCAGTGAAACAAGAGAGGAAATTCTAATAACAAAGTTAAAAATGTTCTGTTTTTCACATGTGGTTTGTCTCTCTGCCTCAGGTATAGCATGGTCACCTTCAGCAATGAACTCAGGCTTTCTCTAATCACTTACACCCATTCTTTTTTTCTATATATTGTTGAGAAGAGACTTTTTTGCCATTTTTTCAAAGGCCTGACTAAAATTTAGTCCTGTCATTTGAAGACATGGAACTGTGTAAAGTTAGAACAATGTTTGAAGACCCAACTTTTAAGGAGTTTTCTGATAACATTGAGACATTCTGTTCGTATTTTACTTACCAGAGCTCCACTGCTGAGGAGAATCATAAAGACAATGAAAGTCTCAAACCAGTTGTGTTCGACAATCCTGAAGCAGGTTTTTCTAAGGTTCCACCACTGCTTTCCTCTCCCTTCTTCTATACTTACTTGACAGCACTTGAACCTTCTTACACAGCCTTTAGAACAGTGTATGTAATGAGAGAGAAAAAAAAGAAGATATTTTTGTTTTGGTTATGCATTATACAATGCTATTTTACAGAAGCTGAGCTTTTTAGTAAAAACCCAACAGATTTTCAGCTAGATGACCTTCTCATCCAAATATCATATAGGTTTATGTAGTAAGATATGGGCAAGTGATATTAAATTGTACCCTCTTTTGTTCAGGATGCTCAATTCAGACAATGTTGCATTCATTTCATGAAAAAAAATCTAAGCCTCTTAGCTGAGTTCTGGGCTTTTCTGTACCAGCTAACTTCTCAAACTTAGGCCCCCAATTTATTTAAACTTTTATGATTTCCTCCTGACTTTTGTTTCTTCTTTCTTTTATGTAGAAAAATACTAGTTAACAATAATGGTATTTTCCTTGCAAATTCTAGACTGTTACAGTAATGCTTCTTGCAAGTTCAGTGCAAATTTCTAAAGAATGATTTGTTATCATGTCCAGAATTAACCCAACATGACTGTAGCATTTATTCTCCAATATCTAAATCTAACTGTTGCTTACAGACACTAGAAATGGTATTTGTATCCTTACATTGCTGTTTTAAATATATTTCTTTCCCCACCTTCTTCACATGCACACATCCATAAGGTTTCTCAAAAGGAAATGTCATTGGAAAAACATTTATGACCAGATTCTGGTTTTATTGAACTATGGGCCAATAGAAGGAAGAAAGGAGGAAAAGTGAAAGGTGAAAGAGTCTACCAGATGAGACTGTTCTTGCCCCAGGTGGCACACAAGGCTCTTCCTTCTTTTTTTTGTCAATTTGTAGAAGGTTCATTTAGTGTTTTGCACAAGACCATCTAGGTGCAGTTTTTATTTATCACTCAACAGCTGTATCAGTCATGTATACTTTATAAAGCACTTTGACAGATATCCATGAAAAACATTTTAAAAATAGTATTATTATCTATGAGACTGTAACTAAACTCCAAGTACAGTAACTCATACTAAAATAAAACTTTCAATAATGTATTTTTTGTATTTTAAAAATAGTGATACATTTCTGATAAAATGTTTTCTTAATGGTTTATCTGATATATAGTATAATTGCAGTCTCAGTATCCATGTGATATATTATGGACTAAAAGTACTACTGCTAACAATCAAAGTTTAAACATTAACAAACGAGTAATGTTACCCATAAATCTTAATACTTAATTTAAATAGAAAATTTTTCTATTATTCTATTAATAAGTATTATTAGTATTTTTGTTCCAAATACCTTCTGTGAAGCAGGCTTCTGGCTCCTGGGCTTCTTCAGGTTCAGCTTCTGGTTGTTCTTCTGCAGGAAGTCCAATATCAACTGTGCTACCTTCAGATGAACTAGATGAATTTAACTTCTGTAAAGGAAAGAAGCACCACAAATGCGCGGTAAATAATTTTAAGGCAAATATTATTTGATTCTGGAATAAGTAAATAATTAGGTAATATTTTTGAATGTTCTAGAATTCAACATAATTAAATTCCTGATAAATATCTGTGAAATTTGTACAGTCTTTGGTTTTCCTTCTTCATTGTACGGATCTATTAAATAGAAGGTGTATCAGTGATAGATAAGACTTTAAACAAAATTATGCTTTAAACTGAAAAATATGGGTGATGATGCTGAAACTGCAAAGATTTATGAGCACAACAAGCCAAAAGTGGTAATGATGCCTTGACCTACACAGAAATAATGAAGCTTAAGTAATTATACAGGAATCTGTAACGTCTACAGATAATCAGGTAAGAGTCTAAAAATAACTACATAAATGAGATGGGAGCTCAGAGGAATGATGGAAAAAAAGCAGAGAAGGCCATACTTCAGAGGTAAGTAACAACTAAACTCTTACTAAAGCAGGGTTAGTAGTAAGTCAGAAGTCTCATAGTACTTTTTCAATGGGATAAAAGATAGCCCTGTTCCTATATGTAGCAGTACATCAACATAAAGCTTTTCTAAACTGAATCTATTTCTAAAAGGAATCAATTCTCCATTGGTCAGTCATAAACCAGCTTGTGTCACTCTGTTTGACTGCCTGCTCTATGATGGTTTGGAAGACTGGACTGACCAGCATTAAGGTAGTTGTGGGGAGAGTAGATGATTAACTACTTAGATGTTTTCCTCCAAAGAATCTTTGCTTAAATGTTTTATTTTGAAATTCTTTATGCTGGGGCAAGTTCATAGTGTGCTCCAATAAATTTTTAGAACCTCTCTTGTAACAACAGTTCAGAAGTGTGAGTCAAAGCCAAATTATAGAGGTTTTGGATATAGTTAACAGGAAAAGAATTATTAATGCTTCAGATACTAACTGAAAATGGGAACAACACTGTCTCTGAAATAGCTTGCTGGGGGAAGAGACTGTTTTGTACAGGTCTCCTTTCTTGGGGGAGGATCTGAAGATTGCACTTAGCTTAACATTAGGTTTTTGTTGAGAGCACTAGATGACTTATGCACACCAAAGGGGCAGTGGTAAAGAATTCAGCTACCCTAAAATTAGGTATCTGAAGTACTGCTAGTAATACAACAGTAGGAGGAAGGAGGGAAGATGAGTTATCCTATAAAGAAACTGCATTGCTACCAGAATGGAAACTAGCTAGTTCAAGGTTAAAGTTCCTTAAGTCAGAAAATTAATGTTGTCAAGTGTCTGCAAAGGTAATTTTATAATTTGACTAAAATATCAACAAAGTACGTCACTGAGGTTGTAGTTTTGCAAATTTTGTTATTGAATCAATTTAAATTATTGTGTTAAAATAGCCACAGACAAAAAGTCACATAATGGAACAGGTATTAGCCTCAATATGTTTTTTAAATTTACAATTCCAAAAAAGGCTTAGATCTATAGCCTGCTTTGGCATTGCTTTAGAAACATTAGATATTTTCATCTGTTGATATTTTTCAGTTTTAACAAGTAAATTTGAAGTATATGGAAAAGTTTATGGTTAAGACTTCTTTCTGTGGGAATCTAGGTCTAGAAGAGCTGCCAATTTTAAAACCTAAAAGAATTCCTGTGTCTAAAGGACATACATAAATTATATGCTCAGAAATAAAATCCCATAGAGGGGTATTTTTAAAGTGGCCGAGAGATGTATGACACTCCTCATTGGACCCTTGTTACAGGAGGCAAAGTTTCTGGTAGAATAACATTGTAGCTAAGGCACTGCCTTCCAGTAGTTATCGCAACTATCATATGGACCATAAACAGTTTTTATGAATTAGTTTGGTCTCCCACTGCCTGGCCTCTTATCCTCTCTTAGAGGTTATATTTTTTAACCCTTTCTCACACTTTTGTTCATCAAGAAGTAAACCCTCCTTTATACATTCATTTACGCCCATCTACAAAGAAGTGTAAAAATAACAAATGATCAAGAATTGAATACACCGGCTTATAAAAACAAAACAAAACAACTGTCAACAAAAACCCCCTTCCTTCTCCCTCAAAACAAAAACCCTCAAAAGATTAGAGAGAAATGCACAAAATATCTAAATACCTCTTTGCTTTCTTCAAGATCTGATTCACTACTAAACTCCTCTGTGTTCAGATTTTCAAAGTCGGATTCACCCACAGCAATGGGCACTGTCACAGTGAGGCTTGGGTTGTTTATGAATGACATGTAATCACTTTCATCAATTATGTATTTTTCCACACTGCTGCCTGTGCCTATACCACTGGTGGTTCCATTCACATCTTTAATATAATCATGATCCTTGCTCAGTTCCACAGTTGTATGGTTAGAAATACAGCTATTTTTGTTGTTCAGATCGTCAAGTGGCTTGATTTCATCTAAAGCTTTTTGTTTTTTAACAAAAGCTTTTTGGATGAATTCACGTGCTTTTCTTTTCACATAATCTATGCCTTTCTGCATTCTTGCTACGGCAATTTGGAGATTATTCATTTCATTATCATCGTCTGTCACAGCAAGGTTGTCCGCACTAAACGAACTCAAGAGCAAGGCCAAAAATAGGTTCAGTACCTGCAGAAAGATAAAAAAAAAGAAAAGAAAAAAAAAAGGATGTTCTAGACTTTATCCCAACAAATAACATTTATTTTATTAAAGTCATATTAGTGACTTCAAAGACTGAGATCCCAATAATTCACCATAAACAAAAAAGCACCCCCAAAATTTTTTCTCTTCTCCACAAAAATCCAAGCTTATTTAATTTAGCTTAGGTCCTGCTCATCATTCAAAAAATATTCCTACAAATGACTAATATCTATAAATGTGTCTTTAAATCCCCACAGTAAATAAATATTTTGGTGTCAAGTCTTATAATCTAAAAATGAAGAGATCAGATTTGCTATTCAACATCATTAAAAAGTTTAATCTATTCCATCACACAGTAGAAATTAGATATTTAGGTGACTAATCATATGGGATAAATAATAAAAAAAACCACAGTGAACAGGCTATAAAGAGTGGAAAATCTAAAAGTATTTGTGGCACAAAATATTTACAAAGAGCCAAAAGACAAATTAGTCACATTTTTGAGTGCTCACTCTAACATTCTCAGGATTTTGATATTGCAGAATACTTTGTTCTCTATCCAAAAAAGCTCTTAAGCTTGACTTTAGGCATTGCTTGAAACCACCTGCTTAAGTGCTTCTTTGAAGCAGCGCCAGAGCACCTAGTTTACTTCAGGACTGAGACCTCTCTATTGCCAAATAATTTTTTGCTAATGCTTTGATTACATACCACCAGGTTTCCAATCACCATGACCATCATGAAGACAGTAAGGCACATGGCTTGGCCAGCAACCTCCATGCAGTCCCACATCGTTTCTATCCATTCTCCACACAGCACTCGGAATACAATCAAAAAAGAGTGGAAAAAATCTTGCATGTGCCAGCGTGGAAGGACACAGTCACTTGCAATTTTGCAGACACATTCCTTGTAGTTTTTCCCAAACAGCTGCATCCCAACCACAGCGAAAATGAACACAATGATGGCCAGCACCAGGGTCAGATTGCCCAGAGCTCCCACAGAATTACCGATAATTTTTATCAACATATTTAGAGTTGGCCAAGATTTTGCCAATTTGAAAACTCGTAACTGGAAGAAAAGAAAAATATTGTTAGGACAATCAGAAAGACACAAAGGTATTTTAAAATTAATTTGTGGAAGGATATTACTGCAAAATATGCCCTGAGTATGACTGTTCAGATGGAATCATCTTGTCTAAAAGCATGCAGATGGAAGGTTCCCTTGAGAAAAATTTGTAAAGCTGGGGTTTGATACCCTGAAAGCATAGTTTTTATCGAAGTCCAAAGATGCTACTTGTCATACTAAATGAAACTTAAAATCTAGGATATAACTGTTAAAATCATCTGGGCCATTTTTCAACTGGTATTTGTAGAGCATATCTATTCCTGTAATGCCAGTCAGAGCACAATATATCTAGAGAGTCAATTTATTTCTGCATAGCAGGATGTTTAAATTGTGTATGTACAATAGATACATTGGAAATAGGCCCAGGGCACCCACTGCTGTCTGTCTGGATCTCTATAAATTCCCACTGAAGACAGTAAGATAACACAATTAAGAAGGATTTGCACTAATGAAAGTGACATCAGGGTCAGTATCATGGGAAACATCAAGAAAACTTTCAAGGCAAAAATCAAATCATTTTAATGAAGCCCCATTGAAAAATCAGTGCAATTGATGCATATTTACCAGTCTGAATGATCGAAGAACTGATAGTCCTTCCACATCTGCAAGACCAAGCTCGACCAAGCTAAGGGTTACAATAAAACCATCAAAAATATTCCAGCCTTCCTGGAAATAATAGTAAGGATCCATTGCAATTATCTTGAGAAACATTTCTGCTGTGAAGATTCCAGTGAAGACCTGTGTTCAAAGTGCAGTTTGTTATTTCATTGTGAAATATACTACTACAGATTTAGTTGTTGTCTAGGTTTTTCATTCAAGATACATATCTGCAATGTCTTATCCAGAACTGATACTTAAAAATAGTTATGTTTACTGATTTTTTATGCCCGCCTTCCCTTAGCAAGTACCATACAAACCAAGTCATTTTTCAATTAATTAAATTTTATACTATTCAAATTACATAAACTTCTTTTTTACAGCATTTATAATCCAATTTCAACTCTATCAGGATATGGACTTTCTCATGTACTGTACAAACAATACCCCAAATTTGATTTTCAGAATTTAAACCAGAATGCTTTCCAAGAAATTACACAGTATAACATCTTTCTTGGTATACGAATTATACCAAGGTCAAATCTGAGACTCCAGAGGGGCAGCTTTGCTGGTATAATCTGCCATTCAGTTCAACAGAGCTATGATTGTTTATACCAGATGAATAAATGGTACAGAACGTAGGTTTGTTTAGAGTGACCTTCTCTTAGATGGATTGCCTTACAGGGCTAACGAGCTTCATCTGACCCTCACTGCCACTGTCCAAGCTTGCTCAGCCCCGGCAGATGAACCTCAGGATTAAAGGGTGGGCTCAGTTCAGCGCACGCTGTGTCTCACCTAAAAAATCCACTGCGCAGGCTCGAAGGGTTAATGACCTTTCCCAAATCTTCGCTCGCGAAGACTGGCCATACAACAATACAAATGGTACATTATAATCTATCTCAGTTGATAGAGACACTGAGATACATTATAATATACTGAGATACAACAATTTGCTGAAGCTGAGTAACTTCTACCTGGCTGTTGCCGGTAAGTTCAGTGAAGCTTGTTGGCTCAATTGCTTTGATGTCAGGAATGAAAGAGCATTTAAGAATGCATTTTAAACAGGGTATTGCTGGTAATGGCTTCTCATCATGGGATCCTATGCTGAATGAAGTAGGAATCATATTTAAGAGCCACCAAGGTAATGACCCTGAGTAGTTTTGAGAGAAGTCTCGGGAGAGTTTCCTGTAGGAGACGAATGTACTAAAGCCACAGTTAAAGACTGCTCAAGCCCTGCTCTGAAATGCTTTCTTTTTTTGGTTTCAATAACCTGTTTTCTAGCAAGCTGAACAGAAAATGGGACAGCTAAAGAGAGTAACCTAACTGGGATAATCAGGAGATGGGAAAGAAGAGTCTGACTTGCTCTGACTAGGAACACCAATACTCAAGATAGATTTTGTTACAGTCTTTAAATACATTCTATATACAGACACTAGAGAGAGAAAGGTCACAAATTTTTAAGCTACAGGACTGGAATCCCTGAGGAAGACATAGGAATGATAAATACAGTTTGAAACGCTGACTAAGGTTCTTAACAATCAGGACAGGAAGGTTCTCAAGGAGTTTCATGCAACCCTCGAGAGCCTCTGTGTTGCAGGAGGGGTTTATGTCAGGGAGTCCAAAACTGGAAGAGCATGGTGCTTATAGCCAGGTTCTCTCACACGCCCTTCGTAGTCAGATGTACACTAAGATTTATATGGAATTTTTTTTAAGTATATGAAAATCAGCTATACAATTATCTATTAATGCTCCCTCCTAAGTCCTGTAGTTATTTACATGATCTATTTTTTCCTCATTACAAAACAAGGATTATTAAAAATCCCACTATAAGAAATCAAATCTTAAAATAAGAAATAAAGTAGGACTGCAGCTGCAGATACTTTTATGTGATCAAACATGTCAGTTCAAAAGCATGAGAGCTACAAGAAGTTAACTCCTGAAATCTTTAATAATTTATCTTTTTGAAGTAGAAGGGAGAAAATATAGATGACAACATGAGGAAAAATATCTTATTAATTATCTGAGGATAAAAACAATAAAAGAATATAAGAGGAAAAAGTGCTGCGGGATATTTTTCACATGAAGCCTATAAAGAAAACAATCCCTTATTCATGTAAAAAGTCGTTTACAGGAGAAAATTTTACAAATGCTTTTAAACTGACATTTTAGCTATTGTAAACTTTTGCTCTGGAAACAGCAATTAAAAACACATTCATAATTTAAAGATTTGTATTGTATTGATTGGGAAATTTACACTACATTTATTTAGATAGTGTCTTTTTCATGGAACCAATGCATTTCCTGGTTTAGTAGTTACACAAATCAACTTCTCTTTAACATGGACTTCACTTAATGCAGCATTGGAGCCAATTTTTAAATTTTTTATTTGATTTTGCAGAACACTGCCATATATTGATTTTACAGTATCCTAAGCTACATGAATCAGGGTTGGTGGTGAAATTTCAAAAAATGTTCTGATATTCATATCTGGAGATTAATAAATATACAATAATTTTACTTTATAAAGAGTTAACCCCCCCAGCTGTTAAAACTCCTTCTTTCAGTTTTTTTTCAGATATATTTCCTTACATATTATGACATAAAAACCCAACAGACTTACCAGATTTCCAACTGAAAGTACATTATTGAATTCGTCGGTCATTGGATAATGTTCCATGGCCATAAAGAGTGTATTTAAAACAATGCAAATTGTAATAGCCAGGTCAACAAATGGGTCCATTACCACTAAGTTGACAATATGTTTTACTTTTAGCCAGTGCGGGCTGCAGTCCCAGATCAAGAAAATATTTGCAAATTTATACCAACATGGTGGGCATTTCTGTCTTGATTCTTCAAGTTCTGTGGCAAAAGAAAGTTTAAAAAGGTAATTTTTAAATTGTGATTGCTTTAACACTCTCAATCCTATATGAATTGTACCCGTCAAGTTCTCAATCTGTACTGGTGCTGATTAACTTCCCATAAGCCTCCTTCCTACAGGGCTTTTCAAGAAAGTATTTAAAAACTGCTATCAAATATATTTACTATGTTCAAAGCTTATCACTATGCCAACCAGCATCAATTTATGCATCGATTTGTTTTATGTATTTAATTTTTCCTTGATTACTCTAAGCCTGTTTCTTCCATCTACTGTTCTGGTATGTAAATATTTTTATTTTGAAATTTGTAAAATTTAGGTAAAAATTTTCATTCCTAGTCCAAGAAAAAACCATTTTGATCACCTAGAATAGCACTTCTTTAAAGAGTAACTGAATAAATGTAGCTGCTAAAATACATATATATTTTAACAATAGTTGCATATGTTTGAAAAATGTGCAGTTGCCTTTTTTGTCCAATAATATATTTTAATTCCTATGCATAAGCATCCACTCAGTTCTGACCATCTACGTGAGTTAGATGGTGGCAAAATTATGAGATATAAAGGCTTACATATGTAATAACTTTAATGCTTACTAATGTAATAACCTTAATAAATAAAGACCTTTGAGTTTGCTAATAAATATGGTCTAGTTTCTGGGATGATATCTGTTACCTAAGCTATTTTAAATCGGTTTTTAGGTTTCAACTCAAATTTTCAGAAATCCATGGGAAAACCGATGTTAAATATTAAGCTATGCATAGCACACACCTTCCACAGTGTTTGTGAGGATGCTAGCAATACTCATGGCTCTTTCCCTTAAAGCTGGATCTTCCAGGAAGTCCATAGAAACATGAAAAGAACCTGATATTCTCTTCCTCATTTCTGTTTCTGTTGTGGTGCCCTGTACAGAGAACAATAGTAGGTGAGACCATCTTGAAGAAACAATAAGTTAAGCAAATACTATATAACCCTGTTATTAATATCTTAGTTTGGGTACGTGCTTCGTGCACTTCATTTTTTATTATGTCGGACTTTTATTACTTTTTAGTATCTTTTAAGTAATTTTAAAAAGGCACTAGGCCATATTTATCTACTGTTCAGGACTGAGAGAGAGTTTATTCACTTTTGCATTTCTTTCCTTCAAAATATGAAAAACCATTAAAAGAAATGGAAAAGCATTGAGTTCAAAATATTGCAAAAAATTTTGCAAACTGTAATATTTTTTCCTTGCTCCTGCTGACAGAATATTCAGGGGTTTGTGAAATAACAATCTTTTCCCCTAAGCAAACTGTAGTAAGTAAGAAAAGTCTGACTTCCTCATGCTTCCTCATGCTACTATTTTTTAGCAATGTGAGTGGACAAATTTGAACTAAGCAAGAAATTTTTTTTTCTTCTCTTACCTTGTATACAGTAAGAGAATGGCAGCAATATGTGCTGCACATATATTCGCACAGACAGTTGTATTTTTGGAAGTGTGTTTTGAACTGTGATCTTCCAATGAACTATTTGTTATGTATAGTACAGAACTCCACCAGATACAGATGGAAAATATATAGGAATGAGAAATAAATGATAATAAAGAATTGACAACTTCCTTACATTTTTAACCAGGCTGATAAGGAAGAATGTTATCAAAATTAACTAATAATGCTAATTTTGATAATGGTAATAGCAGTATCATATTGATCGCAGTTATATAACATTTCTATAATAATTTCAATTGTATGCCAACTATGATTGCTAGATGGACCTTTAGATTAGCTCAAGGAAAGTGTGGCAGAGTAATACAGTCAAGCATAGCATTTTTATGAACGTGTAAGTTAATATTTTATTACTTGGAAACTGCGAATTGCATTTGTTAGTTATGAGAATCTTTGTGAGTAGATGCTTGGGTTGCAAACCTATCTAAGCTGTTTAATCTACTAAAGATTTTACAAGATGCAGGAGCATTCACAGCTTGACCAACCAGGGAGCATTGCCAAGGGTTCCATTCTGTAGAAAACACTGGCTGGTGCAGTAAGAAAAGGCCACCATGCCTAAGCTATTTAAAACTTTCTTACATTGTCATCAGTAGCTGGCTTATCTATTATCACCTCTGGCAGAAGCTGTCCAACGGGCGATGTAGGAACAGATGGTCCACCAACCAGGGAAACCACCCCATTGCAATCCACAGTGCTGTGCATCTTCCCATTCACTGGAAACACTGCCAGCATCCTGGATGACCTACTGGCCTGACTAATGTTACTGTTGCGCCGTTCACCGTGTCTGCGCGGCACAAAGAGAGAGTCTCTTCTGCTATCGTTGTCTTCAAAAGTGCTGTGCTCATCATCGGCAAAGTCGTTTTCTGATCCTACATCCTTTGCTCGACCTCTGAAGCTGAAAAGACTTGTTCTGCTGTTGCGCCTTGGGGAGAACAGGGAGCCACGAATGCTCAGCAAAGACTGTAGGCAAACAAAATATGTGATTATTAGCTGAAATCCTCAAACTTATCGCTGTTGTTAGGTTAGCATAGGTTTTCTTTTTTTCTTAAATGAGAGTAACCATTTTACTCAGAAATTAAATGCTGCTGTGAAATTTTTTTATGTATTTCATTATATATATATTTGGCAGACAGAAATATCACTGTTCATGGGTTCTTTGGACAAAACCAGTGTTGAGCACTCCTTTCTCAGCTAGAGCTGCTGAACAGATTAGTTACATAATGCCCACCAAGATAAAAGGGAAATCTATACATTCACATTCTTTCATGTATGCAGGATCTTGTCCATAGTGAACAAATACTGGTTCAAACACCATTGAGGCAGGAGGAAAATATAATTCTATCATAATGGAAATATATCATAATGGCACTTTAGTAAGTCTAGGTAATATATAATCATGCTAAAAAAACCCCCATAGAATCAATCAGAGAATATTTTAATATGATTTTTAAATAATTATACTAGAAGAATAGGGATAATAGATTACATTTAATTCTGTTTTTTTTTTACCAGGCAGCTAGAGCTACTTGCTCTCAAGAACTAGCAGTAGTAATAAAGCTTAGTAAAAATCTCAGTGCTTCCTTTGTTTAGGCAGCAGTACCAGGAAGACTAAAGTAGTTTTGCAACAGTCTATGATGCTTTAAATGTATGGTTTTACTAAAAATAATTGTATGCAATACCTGATGTGGAGAAGAATACTTCTTTTCATATGTCAGTCTATTGCCTTCAATAGACAATCGGAAACCTTTCCTTCTGATGCTGTCTTCTGACTCAGACTTGTGAAATTCATCCTCATCTTTTTCCTCTCCTCCAGATTGTTCTTTCTGTTTTCTTTTTTTCCTTCTATTTCTCCTCTCCTTTGCACTCTTTGAGCTCAATTTTGATGCGTCTGAGGAACTTTCCGAGAGCCCTCCTGCTTCTCCTCCAGCACTAGGCTCCCTGGACTCTGCAGATGCTGTTACTGCTGCTGCTGCCACTGCTGCTGTCTGCCATGATGCAGAAAGAATTTATGTCATCGAGCAAACCATAACATAGAGGTTTTTTTAAAAATTTACTTGTACATAATTTATAATCTGAATGTCCTGGATCGTAACACTTTCTACAGGATATACTCTCCCTAGTTTTTTTTTCTAATTATTATTACTCAATTGACTCAAGATATGTGTTGGTCATAACCTTCTTCCACTCTTCATGGGTAGATTTTAAATGCAGAAGTCTAATAAACTGTATTAATGACACTGGACTAGAAAAACATAGTGGATAATGTATATCTAGTCTTGAATATTCCTTCTTGATGGCTGAATCATTCACAATATAATGTCTTCAGTGCAGAATAGAAAACCTGTGAGCTAGCTTTGTGGCTGAAAGAACAATAGTGTGTTTTACATCTCCAAATTCAGAAAGCAGATGGTGAATATCTCTAATAAACATACACTTCTGCATTACTACACCATAAATTATACCTGAGCTGCTTCTTGTTGTTTCTTCAGTTGCTCCAGCATCTGCTGAAATTCTGCCTCTTTCTGCTCTGCTTCTTCCAAGGTTGCTTGATTCTGTTCTTCATAGGCCATGGCAACCACAGCCAGGATCAAGTTGATCAGATAGAAAGAACCCAGAAAAATCACCAGAACAAAAAATATCATGTATGTCTTCCCAGCAGCACGCAGTGTCTGGAAATAATAATACATTTATAAGCAAGAATAGGTTAACAGAAGTACTGTTTTTCATATTGTTAAAATTAAGATAAGAAAATTTACTCTAGCTCTCTTGCATTATTGATACAAACATATTTAGTCTATTTTTAATTAAAAGTTTCTCACCAATTGATAAAGGTTTTCCCAGAAGTCTTGAGTCATCAAGCGAAATAGTGACAAGAAAGCCCAGCTGAAGGTGTCAAAACTTGTGTACCCATAATTGGGGTTTCTACCAGCTTTCACGCATGTATATCCTTCTGGGCACTGCCTACAAAGACAAACTGGATATTACCTATTTAGTAATTTTAATATTATCATCTGGATGTTGATGCATTCATATATGCAACCGGAACTGAAAAATAACATGCATTTTCCCATTGCTGTTCCTGTTACTTTTCAACCAGGCAGGAGCTACACTAATACAAAAATACTCATTCATTCACTCCAAGTTCATCTAACCAATCCACTGTGCTACGTACAGCATAAAATCCTAGTATTTCTTATGTGAAAGGAAGTGGTCACTCAAAATATAGCCCTCCTTTCACTGCACAGCTACAGAACATGAATCTAATTTGTACCCAGTGCAATAAGATGATGAAATTTGGTCTTACCCAGCATCAGAACTATTTCCACAAAGCAGAGCATCGTTTTGGCCTTCCAGAAAATAAAAATGACCTGTTTAGAAAAGAATGTTCAAAAAATTAGAATTCCAAATATAAAAGTCATCTTAAAATTCTTTGAATTTTAATTAACACCCTAAAAGTGTTAAGGTGATTTCAGATGCAATTTTAAACAAGCAGCGTTATTTTTTTCAGCAGGACCACAACTTTAGAGTAAATGATATGAATTCCAGTAAGTGCTATCACTCACAGCACTTACTGTTAAAATGCCAAAATGTCCTAAAAATTCTGTCAAATGCTTCTGGAGGTAGATTCTCCCTTCCATCTGATCACTGAACTAAATCATGCTTGAGAAGTGTTTTTCCCCTCAAAGCACATGCCTACAGTTGCTAAACTCTTGATTTTTGGAAGAATTATCACAGGAGGGGCTTCCTCCTGTAGTAATGATGTCCCACTTGGTCACAGGCTTAAGGATGAAATTTATACAGGGTCAAACCACATTGCCCAGTATCCCATTTCTGATGGAGACAGAAAACATTGCCTCAGGCTGTCTGTAAGGACAGCATGGTGATGCTTCTTTGAGCACCTTGTCAGCTCCAAAACTTCTGAAGCACAGCAGCTTCAGAATTAAGTTGGTACCTTTTTTGCTTCCTGAGAAGATTTAAAGCCCACAAAGGATTTCTTTTCCATTGGACTGTCCTGTTGGATTCCCTTAAAATGATCTCATTTGAAATGCTACCAGCACAGCTGAGATTAAGCTTGACTCTGGCTGTGCTGACTGAGCTGCCCAAGCCAGGTTACTATAGAAATTAATGAATTCTGAGTCTGAGAAGGTGTCACAAGCTGCTGGCTCAGCACATTGATTTGTTGCAGGAGGGACACAGTACCTGGGCCAGCTGCATCCCTCCATATTGTGAAAAAAATTCACAATGTGGAAAAATTGTGCTTTAAACTGCACGTAGACCTTGTTCTGACGCTCTGTGAAGGACTCATTTTCAGTGTCTGATGATATAGATGCATCTTACAGAGAACAATCTCCTGTGCTGTGTGAAGTGCACAGCCCTGTGTGCAGCTGCTGTCCCTCTGGGCTGGTGTGCATTGCAAAGCTGCCCTGTGCTGAAACACAGCTGTAAACAGTAAGCTGACAGGATGCTGCCCACAACTGACCCTTAGGAAGCAAATCTTACTCTGCATTATGTCAGCTAATCATGATTAAAACATGCTGGAACATAACAGCTGATGGGAAGAATGCAAACCTGCTTTGATATGGTTTACATGGAGCAGTCAGTCATGATCAGTACTGCACCAGCCGAGCTGAACTGCTACAACAGGGTCTGCATTCAAGTTCTGTGCTTCAGACAAGATGTGCTCTGTGAGCATGCTGTACTTGCCAGCTCCACAGGAAACATACAGGCTTTCTCTGAGTACGCTGATACAACCAGGACAAGTGTTTACAATATTATCATGATAGGAAAGTTCTTATAACACACAAGCTGAGCAGCATTACCATGTATCCCAAACTAGGTGCAAAATTTTGAATTGTGTTTTAACAAAGTAATGTGAAAAATCTCTCACTATATAAAAGGTATATGTTTGGCTTCCTTTAAATTGATTGGGAAATGGGAAAAAATCCCTTGTAGATGAGCACTTAACTTCAAGAGGATTTATAGTTGTTTGGGTAAGCATAGGGAAATGACAGAATAATTGTTATTTCACAAAACAGATTGTGAAATTTCTTTTTCCCAGAAAAAAAAATGTTTATGGAAAGCTTGCCAAGATAAACTTCATCTTATCCAGAACTAAGTTTTTCAGATTTCCTATCTTGGAAAAAGAAAAAAAGGGGAAAAAAAAGAGTGCTTGGCTCATTATTGACAGGAATGCTTACATTAAGACCCTCTAAATGGCATCTTCAAAAATGAGCTCAGTGGCAAAATTAGGGTTTACCTGCCTTCTTCACACAGTACACACAACTAATAGCATAAACACTCCTCTAATTCCTTCAAAATACAGCGCCATTGCACTGCTCCGAGCTGCAGGTAAGCCGCCTGCTGCCCTGTGATGCAGCTGGTTTCTATATCCTGTCTGCCCAACTGCAAAAAGAGAGCAGGAAGCCATAAGAAGATAATTTTTCTCTTTGAAATTGCTGGTAAGCTGGTAAGCTTAATAACTTCATAATAAGACTCATAATTTAATTATAAATTTCATAATACATATGAAATCCTGTGTGAATCTACCGAAGGCCCACGTAGCCATTCAGTAAAGTATTGTCTGTAACTAATTCAATTCAGCTTTGTTTTCAGGGAGCTTCAGGTCTTTTTTAAATCAAATGAAATCAGAATCTGAGTTTACACATTCTGCATTAAAAAGGGAGGAAATAAAGTTAGGGCTTGAAGGCTAGGTCTTCACTAGGACACTTTGCTTAGACTTCATTATACCCCATGGCGTGGGATCTCCATGAATTCACATGTTCAAGTAAATTAAGTTTCACAAAAAATCTGATTTAAGAAATTCAGCTGGAAATCCATCATAGTCATTGCTCAGCTGTGTGATCACAGTTAGAAGCTGTCTTCTCTTCAAAATTTGTCTGGCTTTGACTTGTAGCTATTGAACCTGTTATATCTTTGCCTGCTAGATCAAAGATATGTCTAGAATGAAATTTCTGTTCCCCATGAGGTTTTTTTTTCAACTGTGATCAAATCACCCCTTAAACCTTCTCTTTGATATGCTAAGTAGGCTGAGATCCTGGTCTATCTTGGTATGAAGAATATTTCCCAACCCTTTAATCATTCTGCTCTTTTCTGAACATACTCCATTTTTTCAATATTCTATCTAAATTGAACTTTATATAGTATTCCAGTAGCAAATGCAGTAGTGCTAAATACAGGGGTAATTCTGCCTTCCAAGTCAATAATTTATTTATGTGAACAGGATATTATTTAGCTTTTTGGCTGCAGAGTTTCAGCCCTAATTTGTCAGTCCTGGCTGTTCCACAGCGCCTTAGGTGCCTCAGCCTCTCTATTATTAAGGGCTTTCCAACTGCATTTCCTGCCTCTCTGTTGCTCTGCAGCCTTATACATAAGCTGCTGTGGAATAGTTTTCCAGAGCCTCTGTGGCACTATTTTTCCCATGTTCTCATGCTGTGTTTCATGTAATTATTCTTGTGACATCGCACTTGCAAACACATTATTGCTGCAGCAGGAAGCAACTGTCCCTGGTCTGAGGTTCACCCCTCTTTCTCCCCCTTTTTCCTACTCCTTCCTTACAGCTTTTGGTTTCCATTAGGTGACCTAATAACATGCATGTACGAGCTTAAAAACCAAGCAGACATGCAGCACCCACTCTGATCAAAGTGCATTCCAATTAGTGCTAATAGCACAGTAAGAAGGAGAGAGCTGTAGGGAATTTGAGGAGATGCTAATGAAAACCTTACAGTTGCTATGGGAAAAGTATTGTAGAGTGATCACTGCTGCACTAAAAAGGATACCCAAGGGAGAAGACTTAACAGGGTAACCCACCACTTCTTTTGCAGCTGGTCACTGTGGTCAGTTTCTGCCTTTCCTCTTCCCTTTTCTATCCCTCTCCCCCCTTTAGTTCTTAATTTACACCAAAAGTAACTTTCACTGTTAGAGATTATGTATGCCATCACTACAGTCTCTATGCATGCAAACCTGTCTCAACAGAACTGTGCAGCATTCATATGTAGGATAGGGAGCTTAGGTTTGTCCTCTCACATTTAACTACTGAAATGCATTTCTTTATCTACTCTCAGTTTGTCAGACTGCTCTGTATCAGCAAAACTGTTTGGAAAATCATACTTCGGGAAATTATCAAAGTGGAAAGATGCATCAAAACAACTTCTAAAGGCATTTGTCTAAGATTGCTGCTATTTAAGGTTTTAACTAATCTAGATTATTGAAGAATGCTTAACAAATTTACAAATTATATTGATCTGATAAGGATGGTGGTGAGTTTGAGGAAACAATTACAATTTAAAAGGTCCAGGACAGTTGGAGAGATGGTCTGAAAAAATAAGGTGCTGTTCAGGTAGGAACAATGAACTGTGCAAACACAAAGTGAAAACTCAATGAGGTAGAAATCTGTAAAAGATTCAGGAGCAGGTAGACAACAAACTGAACAATGCTACAGTTCCAAACAACAGCAAGCTATATAGGATATATGAAACAGAAGTATAACAGAAGTATGCTACCACATCATCCTTCTTCTCTGCTTAGTACTCCTTATGTGGAGGAGAAATGCCTAGATGTGGATACTGTACTTTAAAAAGGATATTTATGAACAAGAAAGAATCCAGATGAGAGATCAACATCTAGAAAATACACTGTAGGAGAAAACGGTTCATGATCTGGGTTGTTTGAAATAAAAGAAGACTGAAAGAGGAGAGAATACAGCATGGAAACATAAGAATAGTCTCTAAATACTTCAGAGACAGTGATTAATAGGAGGGAATAATTTGGTTTTGATGCTTTTGTTGCAGTTGATAAGAACAATAAGTTCTTACCAATAAATTTTAACCATAAATTTTAGCAGGAAAAACTGTTAGACTTCAAAAAATTCCCTTTCTAATAATAATGACAGTGAAGGACAAGAATGGATGGATGATGAAAATACTGAGGACTTCATCACTGGACTTCTCACTTTATGTCAGAAGTCTCTGATATCTGTCAGAAATGACACAGCATGCTACTGCTGATCTTGCTTTGGAGAATCGGAAAGGAAAATGTTTAAGACTATTAAGTAATTTTAAGACTCCTTTGAACTCCTTTCTGTCTCAGGTAAGATGTGAATTTGGCAGATGGAGCTGAGAAAAAGAGCTATATCAAGTAGTGAGACCATGTTCCGTGTTCCCTCTTCCAGGCAGGCCTTTGGAGCAGGTCTATGAGAGAGAGAACACTTCTCCTGCTCTGTCTTAACTAAGTGTATTATCCCCTCCTCTCCTTACTTCTAAGAACTGGGTCAGCCACAAACAGTGACAATTCTGCAGACAATACTTACTTTCATCTTCAATGTACCCCTTCCAGTCAAATGGAGTCACTGTTGAATTAACCAATGTACCATTTTCACCTATGGTGCTGTTAAGCTGGGAAGTTATATTTGTTTCCAAAGTAAAGTTTTCTGGAGGCCACTGCAGGCATTTATTCCTCAAGTTGCCCATGAACAACTGTAGCCCTATCAGTGCAAATACACTCAGACAAAACACAGTCAGGATCATCACATCCGAGAGCTTCTTCACAGACTGAATTAGGGCTCCCACAATAGTCTTCAAGCCTGCAAATGGAAAGGAATTTTTATTCTGATGTTGGAAACTTTTTCAAAGCATAAAAATGACAGTGTTCCCCACTAAAGTCACAGATTTCATGCATAAGCCCAAATAAATGATTGTAATGTCTGTGAAATAACATTTTCGTGAAGAGCTTTTTCATTTGTGAAAATGAATAAATAGCTGACATTTATGTTCATTTGAAACCGTGAATGGAATGAGTTGCATATATTTCAAAACACTTGTTTTAATCATAAAACAAGCAACTATTCTTTCTTCATGCTGTACATGAATCTCACATAAAAGTCTTCTTACTTTTCATTTGTCAATACCTCTTGCTCCAAACCTTTGCTACTTTCAGTTTTATAACATACTAGATTTAGAAGACAGTAGTAAAAAGCCTGTTCAACAATAAATGAGATTAAAATATAATGCTATAAAACTGGAAATGGTTTGGAAAATTGTAGATTTTTAAGATAATAAATCCCCCATGCAATGCCCATGCTATTCTTTATTATCTTATTCCTTCATCTTCTTACTAAGTCAACATTTCAGACAGTTCTATTTTTTACACACAAATATTCACAACAGATACCACATAACATCATGTAGGTAGGATACACATGGGTAAGAAAACTTCAGGGATACTGATATTCGTTGAATGTGGAGAAGAAAGCTTGACGTCATACGATGCAAACCACACACACTGTGTACTGCAATGTCTCATGCAAGAATCTGTTAAACTCAAAGGCTGATTTCAAAAGGAAAGTGCTCATGTTAAAAAGCAAAGAATCAGAGATTTCAGTGAATTCTGATATCGTCTGATTCCTTCTTTTTTTGGTGGAAAGAAATAAGACGTTTAAAAAAATATGAATTTCAATGAATCAAAATCAGCCTCAGTGTTTAACCTCTCTCTCACCTGGAATGACTGATATTGTTTTCAAAGCTCGGAGAACTCTGAATGTTCTCAACGCTGAGACATTGCCCAGGTCCACAAACTCTGTCACATATCTGTAATAGGGGAGTTCACACACAAACACAATGACAGGATAAAAAGGAACAGTTGGGAGGTACAAGGGGCCTAACACCTTACACCAGTTACTTCTTACCTGGAATTACAGAAATAGTTTTCAAAGCTCTCAATACTCTGAAAGTTCGAAGAGCTGAAAGATTGCCTAGGTTTACAAATTCTGTTACATACCTGTAGGATTAAATCACAGTTATTCAGAATTTAGGCAAAGTTTATGCTACTTACTTGGGTCTTTCATCAAGACCGCTTTGGCGTTTTTAGCAAAAAACTTAAATAGCAACAGTCAGAGGTTTACCTTTCACTGCAGTTTGCCTTGCATTAATACACTTTCAGAGCCTTCAGCTAAATTAAATGTCTCTGAAGTGAACTGTACTGATTTTACTTTGAAAGCCTAAAATTTATCTAGACTAGATTGGTAAGTTTGGAGAATGAAGTCAAAGGGAAGCTCCTTTTCTGCTCCGGAAAAAAAAAAAAAGCAGGACATGAAATTAGCCTCTCTAATACTAGCTGTACTAATGGCTTCTGCAGTATTTATGTTTATATCAAAATACGCATTTTAGAATGCAAAAATTGGTTTAGACAACAGTAAATTCATACAAGATTTTCCATTTAACAAAATTGATATGCATTGATACTAATTTCATGCCCTTTTTGCCCTTCACTTCCAAAGAAAAAGCAGAAAACAAAAACTTACGCAAAGGTAATGACAGTGAAATCAAGCCAGTTCCATGGATCTCGAAGAAAAGTAAAATCTTCTAAGCAAAAGCCCCTTGCAATGATTTTTATTAGTGACTCAAATGTGTAAATTCCAGTGAAAGTATACCTGAAAAATATAGGAAAAATTTAATCAAAATAAGTAACAACATTTTACATTGATATTCTGGCAGAAACATGACGATCAAACAAAAGAGTTTTTTATTTCAAAACTGTAGAAGAAACAAAGTAAATAAGCAATTTCTTCTAGAATGCATTGTGTTCATGATAGATACTTGTGTATTTACATGCATTAGTTGTGACCTGTTGTCGAAGTACAGCAGTGCTGGTCTTGTACAAAAATCAAAATAAACAAATCCATAAAATAGATAACATATTAAAAATCTATTAGTGGCATTCAGTTTAAAAATATGCAACACTAACATTACTGTTAACTGTGTAAGCTGTGGGCATAAGTTACTGGATACTGTCTGAATCATTAACATCTAAAACATCTAGTATTGACTCAAAAGAGGGAAGAACACAAGCACGCACTGAATTCTCACTTTAGTAATACTTTTACTTATATGCTGCTCTTAGCTAACATGTACATATAGGTGCCCATGGTTCTGCTACTAATGCAGTGGTGTAAGGGAAGGATAAAAACATTGGGTAGGTGCTAAATCATGAAGAGAGAAAACTAGTGGAATCTCAGGAGAACACTATCTGTAAACAACTTTGATTTTTGCCACCCTATTGTTCTACCAGAATTTAAATAATTATTCAACATTTCTACATAGTTTAGAAAGGAAAGAGTAGTAGTGCCTCAGAATAGTTCCTGCAAGCACATCTTACACTGCAGTTATTGGCATGCTGACTTCTAGAGGAACAGCCAAAGATATATTTAAATAATATGCAACTTACTCTACATTCTTTGTCCAGTCTGGAGGGTTACTCATGGTCATAAATACGCAGTTGGTCAAAATAGTGCACATGATAAGCATGCTGAATAATGTAGATATAGTTAAGGAAAACACAATAGTAATTCACACAATATCACATCAATCATATATGTTACATACAGTAAAATATTGCCATTTACACAAATCTTTTAGACTTTCATAAACATTGACATACGTTTTGCTTAATCTCGTAGTTTTCAGTTTAGCACGTTAAACTTTACTGTTAGTCTTGATTTGTTGATGCTCTGATGTTGATTTGTTGGCGCCCTCATGTTTTGTTTTCAGCTGCTACTGAAAGGTAAAGGAAATGGCTCTCATACCCTGGGAGGCAACACCAGTTGAGCAACAGCCAAAACTGAAACACCTTGTAGAAGAATACAGTTTGCCTTATGTACCTGGCATGACTGAATAAGTGTTAGTCTTTCAGTTCTACAGGTTTGGTACTAAACTCAAGAGCTGGCGTATGCAAGGTAAAAAACATTTCTCCTCTTTACCCTGGGTCAGAGTTGAGCTGAGTCAGTGCCACTCCAGCACCCAGCACAGCCAGGCTGTCAAACACAGAATAGTTTTTAATTGTTGAAGTGACCACATTCCATGTTTCCCTAACACTAGCTTAGCAGTACGTGCTTCAGTCAGTGGAACAGAAATCCACAGAGAGCTCTCAGATTAAGGTGAATAATTTTCCAATATTACTTTTGGGCTCTCTCAAAACATGGGTTAGTGGCAAAGGCAGCCTCTAGTTCTACCAATGCTGTAATTTGAAACTGGCTCAATAGTACCTCGTGGTCAATTGCTTGAAAAGCATGGAAAACTGGTGGAGATTAAAAGTGGTGAGAATTAATTTCCATTTGAAGTTTCAGCAAGGAGCATTTAGGTGTTTTGGAACTATGAACCCCAGACTCAGAGGGGCTGGTGCTAGGGAGCTCAGACAGTTCACTGGGGCTTCATTACATTCAACGCAATGTTCTCGGTTTACCAGATCACCGGCTCTACAGACATTACAATCCTTCCCTTTTTGTGACAATAAACTCAATTATTCAAACATTAGGAAATACTGAAGTAACCAAACTAGATGAAAACATGACTCAAAATGGCCACATGATGGCAGCAAAAAATCTCTGCTACACATTTATAACAAATGCTTAATTCTTATTTTTTCTCTAGTCATCTCTCTAACTGAGGTGTTTCTTAAAAATAGCTGCATCAGCCTAACTGACAAAGAAGCTAGTTTAAACTGAAGAAAGCTAATCCCATCTAAATTTGAATCTGAGAGACCAGGACTTAATTATTTTTATTTTTTTAAAATCAAGTAGATAGCATGTTGTTGTTTGGGGTATATTTTTATACCATGGACAAAACTAAAATGAAACAAAAACCAAACCAACCAACCACTACCACCACTACCAAACTCAAACAAAAAAACCAACCCTTTATTCTAGGTGAAGGAGGAATAGGAGAAGTAACATCCTGGTCTAAACTTGTCAGAAGATTGGTGTGATCATTAAGATTGTTGCTTAGAGCTACTGAAAAATTCAAACTTGAGCATACCTTTTCAAATAAACAGTCAAATCACAGGGAAGGATTTAGCTGTCTGATTCCCATAGATAGGTGTGTGACCTTTGTCTAAATACCTGACCCAGCAGTGAATATTTTTATCTATTCCAGTAAGTGACTTAACTAGTTTTTGAAGATCATGCTGTCATACAAGCTTTGTACAGTAAAAATTGTTCGATGCCTTAGAATAAATTATTGGAATGCCTTACAATGCTTTTCATCACAGTCCACAGACAGCTCTAAAGAGTCTGTCTTAATATGATTGGGAAATTCCTTTAAATAAAGAGAATCCATTTTGAAATCCAACTTGGAGATGCCTGGCTGCAGCTTCTGTCTTCTCATAAAAGAGCTAAAGTACAATGTCCTCTTAGAAGAGCTGAGGTTTTATCCCTGTGCAGTGTGTTATGTGCTTTCAAGTAAGTACCGTATTATCATTCATAACAAAGGCCACAGGTAGGTCCTTGTACATTGCTCACTCTGTGAGCTGCAGGGCCAAAGTGCTGTTCACTCTCAAACAGAACAGCTGCTCAGTAAGGGCTAACATACTTTGAAATATAAATGCTGATCATGCTTTCCCTTATGGGAATCTCAAACACAGCTGACACATTCAATGTCTGTGCATCTCTTCTGTCTTCTCCCACATTTTGAGTGACTGATTTACAAGCTCAATGTTCCCTTAATTTACTATTTCTACTATACACATAGGTAAATAATTCTGATTTATGATGACTTCTTCGTGGAATTGAACTGTCTTTTTCATGCTCTTCCCAAAGAGGCAAGCAGTAGGGTTAGAGGCATCATACAGCCTCAAGCTAATCAATTAGAGGAGCAGCTGAAGTCTCTTGTAGTCTGCGGGGACTGGTGGAAGATGAAGATTGGTAAAAAAACAAACACTGCCACTTGGTTTCACAGATAACTGCAAGTAGTGAGGTCGCACTGAGGAATACTGTAGTTTCAGCTTCCAAAGGCTCGCACAGGGGTACTTACATGCTTTCTGTAGAGCATCTTCCTATTCCTTTCTAACTTTCCTTAACACTCTGCAGCTCCAGCCACTGCCACCTCCCTTTTTTTGTCTGCTCAACACTCCACCTATTCTCATCTTGTCATCCTTTCCTATTAATTGCCAAAGTCTGGCCATTTCCCATCACTCTTGTGTTGCTCCCTTAGTTTCCATGTTCTATCTTAACTTGAGTTAGGCAGACAAAAGGCAAAAACAAATAAGGGAAGAATACCAGGAGGTGAGTCAGCAGAGAGAAATTCATGCTGTTACCAGTTCCTGTATCCAGTATTACAACTGGTACCAGCAGTGAGGAAGAATATTCGTAGGGAACATCTGTGAGCACTGGGAAGAGACACACTCTTTCTTTGCAGGGAGAACAACATCTGCCCACATATCTGGCCACATGTGATCAGAGTGCCCTATACAGAGGTTCAGAGAATTTGGAGGATATAGAGATGAAGGTTTTCCAACTGATGTGCCAGTTTCTTTGTGCTCAACACTCATCTTTCACCCTGAAAGGCACATTTCTATTACAAAGGCCAAAATGCCAACACCTACCAGAAAATGTGAGGGCAGTAGAGAGTTTACAGATAAAAGTCAGAAGGTTATTAAAAACAGTAATCAATTTTACCCCCTAATTCTTTTTGTATAGGTGGCTAACCTTGTATAAACAGCTGAAATTAAACTACAGTATGGAACATATTACATGGTTCTTAGTTAAAATTCTTTCATATCACAGTGTTTGTACCATAATGAATAATAATTTAAAAAAAAAAAAAGAAAGAATAAGAAAGTAACAGAATCTACACATCTATTCTTATGTTTAAGATTAAAAAAAACTCCTATGTCTATATCTAAGATAAAAATAGCTCCTCCAATACTTGGCTGGTTGCAAAAAAGAAATCAGTCCATATAGTGAAAGGGAGCCTCCTCCGATAGTAGCGCTAAATTGCACAATCACACAATCAGTTAATAGATAGAAGGAAAAATACTGAAATTGCATATTGTCTATTAAAATTTTTTTGTTCTTACTGCCCTCAAGACCAGCTGGACACTCTTTGAACACAATTAAGAGAAAGTTAAAACCAAGACCAAACTCAGTAACCAGTATGCCAGTGAAAAGCATTACTCACAACTAGCCCAGGAGCAGGGTTAGAAGGTACTGTAAATCAGTCTGTCATGTGAATGGATGAGCATTCATTAGAGGCTGCAATCTGACAGTATTTGGATGTGCTTTCTCACCATCACCACCACTGTGTCTGTACGACTCTGTCAGGTCCCTTAGCTACTGTCCCCAAATGCTCCCTGATTCCTTTCCAGATACCTTCCTCTTCTCTCACTGCTTTAACTTCACAGGAGCTCAGAGGAAAAGGTATTCTGAGTCAGCAACCATCAGCCTTGTTTCTTACTTTTTCCAAACACCTAGAAAATTCTGCCAGCAGTCTCTAATAATAAGGCTTCTGCCTTGACAACTTGTTCAATGTTAAAAGTCTTATGTCACACTGAAGTTTTAATTTGGTAACTACATTTCCCAGTCCTGAGGTTTTGCAAAAAAACAAGTGCACCAAAATCTCACCTACTAGAAATTCCCATCAACCTGTTATGATCATCAGGCAGCAATCCCACATGTCAGTCTAAAGCTTTACCTTGCACACCATCCCATCAGTTATGGCCCCCAATCTGTCCACCATCTGCATGTACAGATGCTTTGCAAACCGCCTGCGGGAATGCTGCCTATGCTTTCTGGCAATCTATTAAATTTGGCAGAAGCTTATGGTGCAACTGGGCAGGTTTGGGAATGTGAGAATCAGCATGCATGAGCCAGGCTTTCAGGAACACAGATCAAACTGATGCTGAGGATGGCCCTAGAAAGAATCCAAAAAGGCAGTATAAACATATCCTGACCTGGCTGATCCTAAACAGCTGCATATCTGCCTAACTGCTTGCAAAACTCAGAACTCTTCTGGAATTCATGAGCACAAACTGCATTTTTTTAAAAGATGTTACTGTTTATAAATAGGCTTCAAAGTGCAAAAAAAAAAACCAAGCTGGGATGCAAATAAATATAATTCAATCTTAAGACAAATCTGAAAAAGTTTTCCTGAAAAATTAATCAAGGTGGGTTCTTAAATCCTTATACAGATTTCTGCAGTAGAAGAATTGAAATTCAAGAAAATAGTTTGATTCAAAAATCAATGCATTTATAAAATACATACATATTTTCTCATATTTATAAAACCTTACCATAAGTCTTCCACTGTAAAATAAAAATGACAGCCTACAAAAACATTTATATATGATGAAGTAGTTACGTGTTTTCTTAATTTCAATGTGTAACATTTTGAACAACCACTAAAAAAGGATATGAATGTACCAAAATTTTAATAGCTATTTTTCTAAGAGGATTGAAGGGAGTTAAAATGTACAGGGCAGAGGTGGCACTGAATCGGAAGATTGCCTTCCCTTTATTCAATACTATAAAGGTCTGACATTTTATAAGTGTTTGTTCATTGTAGATGCTCCAAGTGACCAATCACCAAAATTGTAAATTTTTGAACAGTTAATATACAAAACCCATGACTAATTTTTAAAATAAAAATGATTTCCAGTACTTACCTGATATACCTGACATATGAAAATATAATTAATTCATTAATGTTTTTATACTTCATTAAACACCTCGGTCTAGTAATATGATACATTTACATGTGTTTCTTGTAAACAAAGATGCAGAAATTCTGAACTAAAATTATAATCTTATTCATGTTTTCCCATAGAAAGTTCTCTCTTCCTATTTGAAATACCATAAGCAGGGAAGCCTCACATGGATATTAATGATATATTAGTCTTACTAACTAGAAGTCCTTCTAGAAACTGATTTAATAGACTATATACTTGTTCATATTTTTTGTTCTAGTCTGTTTCTTGGTCTTTGTGCTATGGAGAGAGGGAAATAGCAGTAACATTGCTTTGCTTCCACTGCAGGCCATCATGGCTGCAACAGCATTAACACTACAGCACAGGAAATGTGGACTGTCAGGTTTCTTTGTGTCACTAAAGTGCTCTCCAACGGCAAGATCAATCCGAAAAGAACGAAAACACTGCAGAAGGAAGGCTCAGTAACTCAGAAGAAACCTGCATCCAGTGGAAGGGATGATGCAAGGATTATAACCTAAATTCAAATGAAATTAAATAGAAAAGCCTAAAATTGCCTTTTTTTTTGTCAGAGTTGTACCTTTGGCAAATAAGCTATGAAAAATCCCCCTTGATTTTCATTATGTTGCTGACAAAATGAGCTATAAACTAGCATGCAAGTGGAAGTGTGGGATGGAAGTATGTTGGTCTTATCTGGTGTCCATGACATCAAGCATCATTTCTAGACTGTAAGCAAGTGAACTATAAGATTATTTCTGTGAAGGCTGGAAGACAGAGAAAATATGCCAAGGAGGTTCAAGAAGGACAATTCTTCAGTCTGCTGAGATTTGGAAAGCTCATTATGTATGACCCACGAAGTACAGATAGAAATCTTTAGGACCCCACAGGAGGTAGAGAAAGATGCACAGTTGAGGGTTTCCTTGACCAGTCTGTTACAGATGACAAGTACTGAAGGCAGAGGAGAAGAAAGGATTAAACCCTGAGGAAAAGTTGTTCCAGTCCCAACTCACTTGCTGACTTCTTCCCCAAGCTGTGTCTCCATCACAGCTCTACACAGCACACCCTCCCATACAGACCAAACCCCTTACAAGTAAGGGACATTGCCAGTCAGACTTTACACTGTCTTGAGTCCAAACTCAAGCTGTGTAGGAATAGCATAAGACATGCATTTTTTTTTCTCTGCTTCTGCACTGAAATGGAGAAACCGCATCTGAAGCTGAGGACAGCCTGAGCTAATGTTTCCAAATTACACTTCCAGTTACATCTTACAGGTAACAACAACCTGCAGATGACCTGACCTTAAACAAAGCTTTCATTTCAACTACTGAAGCAACCAAGTAGATGAATGATTTTTTGGCACAATGTTTTAAAGCCTCACACCCCGAGGGGGAAGGTGAGTTTCCCCTCCCAGGTCTGTCCCCAGCCCCCATGACTCATCTCAGAAGCCTCCAACTCCTGCTCTTTGCTTTTGTAGTTAGCTATGAGGTACTTGACAAAATGCATTAAAAAATCACACTCCCTACTAACTCTGTATCTTAGACTACACCACCTACATTTAGTCAACCTACATTTTTTTAAAAATCTTTGAACACAAGCATATTAAACATACATCTATTTTCTAACATGCCTTATGGAAAATAACAGCATGCTGGCACAGCTCCAGTTTCAGTTGGAAGCTGCTGCTATTTTAGCTGTTCTACTTTCTGCTGCCCTGCATAAGAAGAACCAATAAGACATAAATTCCCTAACTCCATTTTAACTTTTCACTCAAAGCATCTTTCTAACTCGAGCCTTCAGAATGACTTTATTGGTCCTCTGACTTCTAGCCTTAGACATGAACTAAAATTGTATCTTATCTCTGAAGAAGAATTTTCATTAAAAAATACAAATAAGAGCTGATATCCAATCCCTGTGTAAGCTTACCCCCCTGGTATGCCTGCTATATCTCACTCTACTCCCAACCCAGATGCAAGCTAATGTGTAGGTAGTGTGGATGAACATGAAATATTATACCCAAAGCTGTCAGGATGAAGTAGACATACATTGAGAAAAGCTAAAAAAATTCTACATGAATTGTAAGAGTAATGCTCCTATATGAAGGATTACGTATACTTTTTAGGGTTTATGTTTTATAAAGTGCTTAATTAATTTTTATAAAGGCACAAAACTGGCTCACACTTGAAGTATTAGAGTGTGAATATAAATTCAAAGAATTCCCTGAAAAGAAGTCCCTGATTTGCTGCTTTTGTATTTGTAACCTAAAACCCAGTTCTTTAACTTCTGCCATATTTGAAAGAAAGCCAGAAACTGCATTTTGGGAAGGGCAAAGGAGGAGGAGTAGTGTTTTGAGAAGATGTAGCTAAGAGAGAATAATAGTCAACACTGAACAAAGATATGGTCTCCAAAACCTCTTGGGACAAAGAGTTCCCAAAACCTCATTTCTGTTCTCCTTCCTCCTAGTTAGCTTTACACATAGTTTCTGGAAGGGTAGCAGGCTGACTGCTACCCCACTGCATTGCCACTTCCTACAGTTAAATAAACACCATCTAGAAGCTCACAGGACCTTTAGAAAGACTGGAGGTGACATTGTTGAGCTGGGTCCTCAGTTTCTCTGGAAAAACTCCAATGGCAGCTAGAACAAGAGAGTCATGGCATATGGGAAGTTGCCATTTCTTGGGTTTGTGGTTATCTTTTTAAACCATGTTTTCTAGCACGTCCTAACTGTTTGCTTTGTTAGAACTTTTCACTTAAAATTCTACCACTTGCAACAATGAAAATTTCTAAAATCACTACTGCATTCAACTTTACTGCTGTTATAAAGTTAAGTGAAGCAATTTTATGGAATCTTTTCGGTTTTTTCACAACCCAAGACAAGTCTGTGAAAGCCAGGAGTTAGTGATTTGAACAGATATCACCTGATATTACCAAATGCCAGGACAAAAAGAGGCATCTTATCTGATAGACATCATTCAACATCCTTCTGGCAAGAGGCAGGGCATGGAGTGGCAGTGAACAATGCTATATCTCTATTATAGCAGGAGGAAAGTGAAGTTTTACCCCCTTAGTTCCACCTATTCTCTCCTTCCTCTTTAACGTAGCAGCAAGGTTTAGGGGAAAAGAGCCAGCCCTTAAAGTATGAAACTAAGTGGACCAGATTTTGATTCATGCCCACAGGTCAGGATCTTAGGGGGTTCCAGCTGATCTTTTTTTCTGTAGACAGTGATGTGAACATCGTTGATCCTTTGTGATGTCAGCTTGAGCATGAACAGGCAGTCACTATTATACTGGGAACACACTGATTTGCACTTGCACAGAAGCAGAACACAAAAAATGAACTAAGTTCCAATTCACTCTAAGCAATTATGGATTTAAAAAAAAAAAAAAAGTGACGCAATCCTTTAGGATGTTAAACTTCACAGTTCTAAAGAGCAGCAGTATTGGCCACCACAGTCAGCAGCATTTCATTATAATGAAATCAGAAGGATATGAGAACAGTATTGTATTCTATTATAATAAAATAATTATGTTTCAAGGGTACTGTTGCTGGCATTTAGGCTATCTGTGATACAGTGTAAATCAAAAATACTGTCAGGTGTGTAAAACTGCTCTAATGGGCTATTCTGTTGTCAAACAGTTGTTGTTAATTTTTTCCTTTCAACTTCAGATTAATATTGAGCATGAATATGTCCTCTTTGGTGGTAGATTTCGCATAGAAGCACATAAATCTATTATAACTATTTGCTTTTTTTTCTCTTAACGGGTTTTCACATTTTAACTTTTCATCTCAGGGCTACCTTAGGCATAAATTAGGGCTCTCAAATCAGTTCAACACATTTATTTATTCCTGTCCTTTTTTGCATTCAACTGTATCAAATCATGGCACACACAGATCTTTTGCTTAGGAAAAGGAGTCCCAAAGATGAAATGTAAAACACTCTAGATGATCTTTCAGTATTCAGTGCATACAAAAATACAGTGAGCGTGACCAATTTTTCCTTGACCAAAATAGGAAAAAAATCCCAAAACACCAGGAAGTGGGATGCAATACTTGCATATGAGGCAAATGATGGGTGATTTCATTCATGACCCTAATTTGTAATAAAAAAGATATTCCTAAAAACTCTATATAGGTTTCCCAAATAAAACCCATGACGATGTTCATTAGTGTCATTTGATCAGTGCTGTGGGCAACCATTTCTATTCCCTATTTGAAAGTTTGGAAGTTAAACTGATACAGTTTCTGTCGATAAAAATAGCTTCGGTTTATGCAGAGATTTCAAGAGGGGTCTGAAGCAACTGTGGTATCTGATAATACTTGTCCTATCCTTTCTTGCAAATAAATATTTTCCTTCGTTTTGGTGTTTTTCATTAGATCCATGATATTTTAGATAGATGTTTCTCCAGGCAGAAACATAAAATCTCTAATGATTGTGCAGTGGTTATCGGACTGTTACATCAGAAGAGTGTGTGCTGATGGACTTGGCTTTACAAGATGGAATTCAGAGAGGAGTAAACAAGAAGATGAAATGTTAAATGTTAAAGAGCATTAAGAGTCCTACGCAACTTCCTGGAGATGGTTATTTCTGCTTCAGGCTTTTCTCAAAGTATTTCTCCTTCTGAGACTTGCAGGAGCATCAACTGCTGCCAATACTTTCAAAATACAAGTGAAACAAGATAAAAGTATTTTCAGAATTCACATACAGCTAGATAGGAAAATCTAGAAATTTGATATTTTAAAGTTAAACTACTGATGTAAAATTGAAACAGATTGTTGAATTTCTGTTAGGAAAGTCCATTTTCTTCTTACTGAAGGAAGAAAAAACAGAGAGAATTGCAGCATGCGAGAAATTTTTGTCTTGTCTTAGACTGGCAGAGCTGTTTCTATTTCTGTCCTCTAGAAGATTAAAGCATTTGCACAGAGAGCATGTGTGGACTTCAGCAGAAAGAAGAGAATCCCAGAGGGTACATGACTGGCCCATAAAAGTTATTTAGTGTGCAAATAAAAAGATTCTTCCATTTAAATAGTACAGAACCTTGATTAAATATGTTCAGCTGGTTTGTCACCATTTCTTGCAAATTTATCATCAGACCTGGCTGATATGGTAAGTTTTCAGCTCCATTTGTGAAGGGATTGGAAGGGTCTTCCATTCCTAAGGGCTCTAGAAGCATATCTATCATAGTCATACCTATTGTGTATCCGTTTTCCCTGTAAGAGCCACAAGACAGACTGATTTGGCTATAAAGGTCCAGGATGAGCTGTGGGCAGGTGGGGATAAAATTATATTGGATATTGTATCATAAACAGACACAATTAGTACAGAACTCTACAAAGCCTGCTTTATAGAAACTCATCTTTTATCTTTCTAAAAGTAGAACTGTGATTTAAAGATAAGTCTTTATATGCTGTGAATGGCAGATAAAGGCTCTTTCAGAGGCATCAAATAATACAGATAAAAATACTGTTCTTTCATATAGTATTTTCTCTCTTGTCAAAACAGGACTCATAAATCACATGAAATTTAGCAAGCTGAGACACCTAGAACACAGTAGTTTGTTAAAGTCAAAATAACTCCTATCTTGATATTGATAGAGTTTTTATAATCACAGAATCCAATAAATCAAGTATCACCAGATCTAGCTATTGTTATAAAACATGAACTTTTTCTGCCGCATATGGGTTGTACAACAGAATCATCCTGAAAGGATTCCAGGCCTGTCCAAGGCCAGCTCCACTAGAAACTTTAAAATAAGTTTTACACTCTTTTTATTATATTTTCTGCTTATCCGTTTGTTTCTCTATCGATTTCATAAATTGCTTAGGAATATGCTATCGAAGTAGACTTCTGTGAACAAAATGTTCTACGAATTGGTTCATGTTGTCAGTTTTAAACCTGAAGAACCCTACAGAATGTTAGTGTACTCAGTTCCAATGTATATTCATGTTTGTAAAGTTTGCAAAATGTATACATGTTATGTATACATGTGCTGTACAGGTATTACATATTGCTTATAATCAAAGACCACACACTATATTTCAGCTTTGATATAAATGTTCCTTTTATATAAATTCAGTTGTATCAAAGGAATAAATTTTGATGTAAATTAAAAGAAAAGGGTGAAAAATTAGTAATCATTAAGGTGGATGGATTCTGGCTGCAAATTAACTGTGTTAATTACTGAAGTAACTACACGATCTGCTTCATGAAAATGAAATGAACATGATAAAGCACTCCAAACACTGGCATATGAACAGGATTGATATTAGACTCACTTTTTTGTTGATGTAGTATGGGTCCATGTCTTCCAAGGGCTCAGACACCATTCCTGGAGGTATGTCGCCGTATATAAACGGGAGTGTTTTTCCTGCCTCCAAATCACTGTTTGGTTTTGGCCCATTTTCATCATCGTCTTTACGATCTTGTTTAGGATTCTTAGCTTTCTCTGCAGCAATGCGTTGTTCAATAGCTGCAAGAGACTCTCTAGTGAAGTATTGGAAGCTGTCTGGTCCTGGTGGTACAAGCACTGACTGCTCCATCTTTTCATCCTGCACATTTTAATTAACATTTATTCTTCTGCATAGGAAAATACTAAAAGAAAGCAGAAAATAAAATCAAACAAACGTGTTGAAATCACCAAGTAAGAAAGATATAACATTTATTTTTAAATGCTTTTGTTTATGCTATGTTGAAATGTTAAAATACACAATATTGAAATTACGTAAAGAAAGATAAAGTAAGAAGCTTAGTTGGTGATTTGACCTTTGCAAGAGGCATTTGAGCGATTCTTATGCTAGTTATTGAAACAGCAAAAATTTCTCAACTCCAGGATTATAATAGCCTTTTACTCCAAATAAGCAAAAGCATGATACTTAGGAATAAATAAATACATTCTTTCCTCATAACTCTAGTTATATTATGGCCACCTTATACTCCCCTGGAATCAAGCAGGATTACATTGGTAGCTATAAATAGCACAGTTCCTTAGAGGTAACACAGAAATTTTCAGTGAGTTCATCAAAAAACAAGCACTATAGAATAAGAATTTCTATTAAACAAATGAAAACCAAGTCTGTGTATTATGAAATATTAAAAGAGTGGTTCCAAGTAAGTTTTTGTATGGGTAGTTATTCTACAAAAGAAGAAGAGCAGTTGCCTAGTTTTATTTCAGATTAGCTGTTACTATGTACCTGGGTCTTTATTCAATAGCTGTAACTGGAAAATTCTGGAAGTATTTTAATATACATATTTATTTATATATTGCAACTGAGAAAATAAACCTGTTGGGGGAAGATAAAAGAAATCCTGTTAAGACTACTGATCTGGCATCTTTCATGCTGCTGAATAGATTTCTGATGACATCAGACATATAGAGGAAATGTATATGTGGGCTCACAATGGTGTATATATCCCTCATGCCTGAATGTAAAGAGAAATATGCAGTCTTCACTCATTGCAGGGTTCCTTATGAAATGATCAGTCAGCCTTTCAGGAGACTCAAAAATCAATGCAGGTCAGTAGCCATTGAAATAAGCTAGACATATGGAATGAGAAAGAAGTAAGAATACAAGAGATGGTCGAGGGAAAATATATTAAAATAAATTAAAAGGTGACAAACAACCCCAGAAATTGTGGAAAATAAATGGCTCAAGAGTAGACTGTAAATGAATGCAGAAAGAATTAGGGGAGAAAATGAAAAATGCAAAAAGGAAAAAACAGGAAGACTGGAAGATTAAAAATGCAGAGATGAAAACAAAGAAAACTAAAACGTAGGTGGAAGAACAGATTACTGGGAAAGGAGCGGGATGAGAAGCAAATGCAGATAGGGTTAAACTTAGGAAAAGTCAAAAAGAGAATAGGAAATTAGATGACAAATAAAGGCAGAAAAAAAAGAAAAACATAGCTGGGAAATTAAAGAGAAGGTCACTCAATTATCTTAGGCAATAAACGCCAAATTCTGTAGATCATTAATGCCAGGGTGAGCACAAATATCTTAATGACATGTATGTGCTGAGTAACGGATTGCAGTGGATAACATAAGAAAGAGGGGTCAAAGTGCTTATGGGCTCTACAAACTCAATTTTCTTGCTTTCTCAAGAAAGTTAAACTCCCCTATATTTCACACAGATGTATATGATCATCACCCCAAAACAGAGAAATGACTTCTAAAGAATCAAGGTGGCAAATTTCTCACTGTAAAAAAAAATTAAAGAGAGCTAACCCCTTATCAAAACACAAAGTATTCACTCACGCAGAGTACAGACTCAAGCCAAACCCCGTTCTGTACAGCTTTCCCTTCTTTCTAAGGGAAAAGGAATTATCCTGTTCCATCTCCATTGGGGGGGTGAAAGGATACAAGAAAATGTACCTCAACCAAAAAGGATTTAAGATCTTGCCTTCCTCTACATAGACAGCATCCTCCAGACAGTCCTCAGCTCCCTATTTCCTGGTTTTGGTTACATCAAGGAATTGAAACTTCAGTCACTTAACTACTGAACAGTTATAAACTCACACTAGAAGTGTGAGTTTCTTACTATTCAATCACACCTTGTGGCTACTGGGAAAGAAGGAGAAAAAACTACCTGCCACATCACTGAACTTTCCAATCCCAAACTGATCCCCGTAAGTGGCACCAGAATTTAGAAAACAGATCTCATGTTAAGCTGTTATTCAGATATTACAGAAGACACAGATGTAGGTGGATACTACTTGCTCTGTGGGCTTCAGAGACTTAAGAGAGAAGAGACAGTCAGGCTCTCCTTTCTACTTAGCTTCTTGGGCAAAGAAAGGGACTAAGACCTTCTCTCTTTCTCTTTTTCTCTTCCTCTTCTCCAATCCCCATGGGTATCAGCAAATGAGTCTACACAGACATGTCTGCCTTTCTCTCTCCTCCTTCTCCTAGTGAGACCCAGGAGGGTGGCTTTCCCCTTTGCCATTTTTCCTTTGAAAATTTCATTCACTGTGCAAAACCATCACTGTACACAGCACTCAGTGTTCCCTGCCACAGTGGCCAGTGAGGGCACAGCAAGCCAAAGGAGTCCTGGCACAGTGGGAGGGAGGTGCTTGACAGTAGCAAGGGCAATCTCATGTGTTGAGGAGGAAAGAAATGTGAGCAGTCAGCAGAGAAGAGCTCTGAAACCATAGGGTGCTGTGTCAGGATCACCTTTTAGTTCAGAGAGTGTCCCCACCTGGGATGCAGGATAAGGAGGTAAGCCCGCAGGATTTGCCTGCAGATGCACAGAAACAAGCTCGTTCATAGCCATTAGTTATATTGCCAAAACATTTGATTCAGCTCCTGTGCTTTTACACACTGAGTTTAAAAATGGCAAATGCTGTGGGCTTTTCTAATAATACCTGTATTTTTTTCTATAGAAAGGAATTCTATATTGTTTTTCTATAATTAATCCTAGAATGTTCACAGGTCTGTCAAATGCACACAGAGCTAACTAGCTACACCTTTAGATGTAACTAAATCTAAGTAGGCTGTACTTAACAAAATGTTTTGGGAGGCTTTATGAAGATTACCTACTTTTTATCCTCTTAGCAGAATAGAGGATGATACTATAGATACATATAGATACATTTTCCATTTCTTCATGCATTTCCATGATTTTAAGTATTTAGAATTGCAAATAGAAATCTTCTATAAATTTAAAAGTCAATACTAAATACATACAGATTTCACTATAGTCAGTCCCAAAGCACTTTAATCTGTCATATCACAGTGGTTAACTAATAGGTTTGTATTTCCTTTACTATAGTCAATGAATTTATTCTCACTTATCTGTTATGGGGATGGATAAAAATTGGTACCAGACAAAATAATCAAATTATATCCTTCTGATTTCTACCAAGTGATTTATTAAATATTAATTGAACAACTACAGATTGCTTACAGGATTCAAATGGATTTTTTTATTTACACTAGTAATTCTACAAAAAAAAGAATATAAGAATACACAAAATACAGATTTCTTATTAAGTTCTTTCCTACTCTCCTTGAGGGAAAGAGATTTTTTTTTCCTTCTACGTTTCCAAGTCTGAGCCACTTTCTTAGGTAGGTAAAACATTTCAAATTTTGGAAAATAAGGTACTCAGAATATTTGAGAATAGAATCATTGTGTTTCTTCTGATATTTCCCAAGCAAAGTATATTCATACGTACTTTGTAGTATACATTGCTGTAAGCCAGATAACTGCAGAGCACACTCAGTGTGCATGGATCAAACCATCTGTAGACCACAAGCAGAATAAGCCACAAGTTGTTCAGCTGCATCTGTGTAATTGCACAAAGCACAGTTGATCTGCCCATGTATATTAAGCCCGAAGTACCCAGAACTACACTGGATTAGCTATGCACACACAGACCATCTGGACAATATACATACAGTTGGTTCAGCACTTCCCCGATGGATGTGGACTACTGTACACCTTGCATAATTTCAGATCTATATATATGTCAAAAATAACTTGAACTATCAAATATCCACAGAGCATCTGCAAATTTTTATAGTCTTCTATTTAGATTTCACCTAAATAATTTTTATAGGCAAAGTAGAGGAACATATTAGCAAATAGATGAAGAGATGGTGCCTTGTCAAACAATGCTCCCAAATCAGTTACACACTACCCCTTGAAGAAGTCAACTAAATGATATATAACTCTCTGAAAAAGAGACAAGCTTGAACAAGAAGATAATTTCCTAACCTGGTAAACATCTAGTTTACTGGTAATTTTCATGTTCTTCATGCCTTCATAACAAATAGTGATGTGAGTTTATGGAGAGTTTGGTCAGGAGAACCTTAGCATACATGTAGAACTACAGGACTGCAAACACCTAAACTCTGGCAAGTGAACTTCTTTATATTATCTATATGTTTAAATCCATAACTGTAACATGCTTCAATGTTTGATCTCCTGGTACAACACCCATGAAATAAAATTTAGCTGCTACAAAATAAAGATAAATTAGTGAATCTACATGTAAACTCATAGAGTCCAGATCTCTGTGTTATAACATTTTGCATTGTTGATTGGAACAATTTCTCACTAATTTTCATTTATCAACTAGTCATTATGATTCTTGTCTTCAACATAAAGAATAAATATAAATTAGCTTCCTCAAAGTGTGGACTTGTGAGAGGAGAGGAAGGAAAGTATGGGAAACCACTGCAGTTTTATATCTGTGGCCTTAGCTAAGCAGGAATCCCAAGCCAGAGTCCGGCCTGTTTGTCTCTATTTTAGGGCTACTGCAGGTAGCAAAGGTAAGTAGGATATCCAAAGGAATACATTTGGCAGAAGGGCAGAAATCAGTTTAGAATACTGGGACTATACAACTTTTTAGGACTCTCTGTAGCTCCTATATAAAATTAAATGTAATGGACCGCTTTATAAGGGAAACATGCATATTACTAGAATTTCAATAGGATTCTCCCATATTTTTTTTACCATCTTCTTGATATTTCCTCTCAGCATGGAAAATGCAGATCTGGGCACAAGGACTTGCTTGCATTAGATTACTTGGACTTGGCTAACTGTATTCATTTAACGCGTATTAATTTTAAATAAAGGGTAGGTACAATAATACTGCAG